TCGGTGTTGAAGCGGGTGACGAAGCTGCACAGCGACTCCCCCTCCGTCTGACGGATGTTGAGGAGTTGAGTTACTGGACGCCGTTGGCGCTGGGCACCAATGAAGTGGCTGAGAAATGAGTCACTTAGTTGCTGAAAAGTAAAGACAGAGTCTATCGACAGCTGACCAAACCACAATCGGGCCGACCCCTTAAGTGTCACGGGAAAAACCCGACACATGATCTCATCAGGGAATGCATGGAGGATCATAAGGGTCCTGTAAGTCTCCAAGTGGTCGACCGGTTCCGTTGTGCCGTCGAAAGAGTCAATCAAGGGCATTTTGAACTTAGGGGGTAGGGGTTTGTCCCTAATGGAAGCAACGAATGGTGAGCTGGCTATGGTGGAAGGTTTATTCTGTATGTTTTGCATGACTCCTTGAAGCTGGAGTTTCATGGCTCGGAGTTCTGCATCCCAAGAGGAACGTTGTCACCACCAGAATGCAATAGAGGCTGGACGCTACTGGCTTCTCCCTCAGGGGCTGGTGTTTGGACCGATGGATGTGGGGCCCGAGGTGGTGGGTTCTTATCCTAGGAAGAGGGTCAAGCCCTCCAAGTTGGATGGGTGGGATTGTTGGATGGGATGGCTCTGGACTCGTTCTCGGTTGAGAGGAATATCTTAAGGTGGTGGATGAGGTATAGGAAGGTGTCGTTGAAGCAAAGCATTGATCAATGCTTGGTTTTGCTCGGCTAGGCGGTTAATGCTGTTGGTGAGTTCTGTGAAATATTGTGATGGGTTGTTTGGGTTAGGAGGGTCGGCTCGGGGGTCAGCAGCGTTGTGTTGAGAAGCCATGGATCTAGTTGTGACCATCCACCTTGAGGGGTGACAGGTAAGGATTATCGGGAATGGGTCTCCGACGACAATGAGCACAATTGCCACGCGAAGTGAAAAGGTTCCCACAGACGGCGCCAACTGATGATACTCTGAGCTCCAGATGGAACGGATCGGATTAATCCACGTTTCCCATAGCGTTGCCCGGGTGTTGATCCCACCGTGAAACCTGCACAAGAGTTCAACGGGGAACGGGGGGTCCCCCAGCGAACCCTCCGACGAACAAGTTAGAGAAGTGAGAGTGATGGAATGTAGAAATGGGGTGGTGATAAAGAACTTAACTTTTTCCTTGTCTTAGAAACCTGCTTATATCATCTGCTAATCATTTCCTTGTCCCTTTCGACCTGTCACGTTGGCCGAAAGTTTATGTTCTAGCCTGCCTTGTTCATGGTGAGGCTGTTCTTGTTTCGACGGGGAGGGGTTATCTCCATAAATGCTGCAAGGAAACTCATTAATGGCTGATGTGTGGTGCAATAACTTTGCAGGATCTTTATCTGCTTATGTGGCTGGTTCTTCTCTTGACACGTGTTTAGGAGTCATTGGTCCTTAATGCCACGTTGAGCTCCAGCAATGTTAGGCTTTAATGTTTGAATTATGTATTGGGTTCTAAGTGATGGGCCAAAAGCTCCTATAGGCCCACCTATGTCAATTCTTCTCAAGGGTTATTGGCTTTTTTTTTCCCCCAAGGATAATGGGTCTTTGGAGAGCATTTGGAATCCACTTTTTGTCTTGGATTAATTTTTTTTTAATTAGGTTTTTAGTATTTGAATTTTCTGGTAATTTCTATTACCTTTTGATGTTCATATATGAGATGTTGAATGGGGTTTGATTATTGATTAATTTCTGTGAATCTAGTTGATTCACTGATTTAAATTGATATCCACTTTTTGCCTCTTGAACTTTGTGGATTAAAAAAATTTGGGTTGATTTATTAGTATTAGAATTTCTTGTACTTTCTACTATTGATTCTCTGAGTTCAGAAATTGATAACCCTTTTTTGTCTCTGAACTTTTTGGATTTAAACAACCCCCCTCCCAAAACAAAACAAAAAAAAGAAAAGGAGGGTTTTTTAGTATTAGAACTTCTATTACTTGCTATTAATTTTATTTTTATTTTTTAAATGTTCATTGATGATATATTGAATGGGATTTGACTCAATTATGTGAATCTTTCAATTGATAAAGCTTGGTTAACTCTTTTGATTTTGATTTATCTTGTTCCAATTTTGGTGGTTGCAAAAAAAAAGGGAGGGGTTTGGGTGGTTGGGAAAAAAAAAGAAAAAAAGAGTTATCTTTGCCTAGTTGAGAAGATTGGTTGGTTGTGATAGAGATCTTTTGCTCTTGGCTTGTTCTTGCAGAAGCTTATCTTGAAATTGGATTTACATGGTGAGAAAGATTTCGTGGCCGCAATCGATCTGCACTCACTCTTATTGTGTATTGTAAACACACAATTTTTATGTGAACAAATTTATTCTCTCATCTAGTTTACATATAAGTCATAATAGATGGATTTATTATCCAATAGGTCCTATAATAATTAATAACATTTTTCTTCAAATACTATTAAAAAAAGTCACTAATTGTAATTTTAAACAACTGTTTAAAAATTCACAAAAAATGTCACTAATTGTAAATTTTAACGATAATTTTAAAAAAAAGTCACAAAAATAACTAATTTTCAACTTTCAATAACAATTTGAAAAATTCATTACATAAAAAGTCACTAATTGTAAGTTTTAGAGACAATTTATAAAAATCATGGCAAAAAAAAGTCACTAATTGTCAATTTTTAGCGACATGCAAAAAATTGTCAAAAAAAATTATTTTTAACGATAATTTTATTAAGATTTATTTTTAATAGAATTTGATAAAAATTAAGTCCAACTATTAAGATTTATTGGTAGTTAAAAAACAGTATCATACCTTTCTAACAGTTGCAAAACATGACAAACAGAAAAAGTTCAAGAACACAAGCTTACCCTGTATTTGAGAAGATCTGCTTCCCAAAACCAGTTCAAAACCAAGTACATAAAGCCTATATATAATAAATAAAAGCTTCAAGAAGCTAATAAAGCTACCTACATGAAGAGTGCAATGTACCAGCACGGTGTCGGTTGCGCGCCATGAACACCATCTGAACTGAAATTCCGAAGAGTTTACTTTCTTTTTAAGCTTCTAGCTATACTGATACATACATATATATATATATATATATGAATATGTTCTGTTGATATGAAAAATACATATACATTGGACAAGTGAATTGTAATAATCTGAATGAGATCATGTCTGTTAATCTGTGTGTAGGACCACTGCATATCTCCATTTTTGTTTTCATGTTTAAACTGAAATGGTGGAGTTGGTACTAGCATGTGCCTAGAAGATTAATAGGCCAAACTTGATCACTTGTTGCCAGTTTAAAAATTACCAAACTTTAGTTTACTTGATTGGGATTGAAGGCTTAATTTAGTTTCAGTTAAATTAATTAACACAAAGTAATAATGTATGAATCAAAGCATTCAACCACAAATTGCATAAAGATAAAGAACACAAGCGATTCAGAGTGAAAACTTTGAAGAAAATTCTCTGCAAGAATAAATCGTTGATTGACAAAACAAAATCCACTACTAAATCAAGAGTTTTAGCAAAATTCAGTACGAAAAGATAGTATTTTAGTTATTAAACTCAAAATAAAAAATAATATTTCAAACATTTTTTATTCACCTACATTAAGTTATTATAAAAAAAAAAAAATTCCTTCAGATATGCTTAATGAAAATATATAAATGATTTAAATTGAAAACTAATCAAAAAATTAGAGTTTAAATTAATAATAATAAAAAAAAATCATAATTTATTTTGTGAAACGGACAAATTACAATTTTTTTTTAAAAAAAAAATTGTAATTTCCCCTAAATTTTGCAGTCTCTATCTTTACTGTTCACAAACTGGGACAGCAGACCACATGCCACCCCCAAGTGATTTGGTCCAACATGGTACGGAACATATCAGTCCCTAAGCCCCGGACCCAGTCAGCAGCGCTATATGCACCAAGCCCAAATTTTAGCAAATGTAATATTGTTATATTTTTATGTATTATCTCCTATTTATCTATCTACTTATATTATTATAAAGAAAATCTATCTATCTATCTATACTATTGGCTCTATTTGGTAGGATTTATTTTCAGTTTATTTTAACTTTTAATTTAATTTAAGCTATTTTAATGTGTTTAGTTCAGCTTAATAATACAGTTTATAGCTTTTTGTAAGTCAAAAATCAACTTATTCTTTGAGTGGGGGAGGAGAAACTTAATTTATAAGTCAAAAATCAATTTATGTTCACAGTTATAAATTATAAGTTGTTAGATTATAAATTATAATTACTTTCTCACAGTTTTACTAAACGGGACTATTATAAGGAAAAAGTCAAAATTGGCATTTATATCTCATTTTTTGAATGTTCTCAAAATATCCCAAGAGCATTTATGCCCCTTATACATATATATATATATATATATATTTTAAATTTTGTGTGCCTACTACTTCTAAAGTATCTATCTTTATACTATGAGAGTTGCTCTGAGGCTTGTCTATCTAGCACTACTGTAATGAAAGCACTCAATTGTGGATACATCATGATCCATGTGTATCCTTAATTAGTCTAAAGTAGCCCATGGATAGTTCACCAAAAAATAATAATAATTAATTAATTAAAAAAGCTACCTTGAACCAGCTACACTGTGGGAACAAAGATTGCGGTGACAAAAAAAATATTTTAGTTAGCAAATGTTGAATTTTTTATTTATATATTAATGCATTAGTAACATAGCATCTGGTATTTAAAATATCGGTACCCAATTTTTTACTCACTATAATAGTGTTGTTGAGTAAAATTTATGATAATTTACACGTAAATCTTTGCAATCTGTGTGCTGAGTCTGTAGAAACCCATGGAGAGTTCTAAAACCTATTATTTATGATAACTTCATTGTCTTAAACCAATCTATTTGCATAGGTAATTTCCTCACTGCTTAATTACCCAGAAAAAATCTCCTGACTGCCAATCTTTGTGCCTATTGCAATTATCAAGATCCAAACATGGCATAAGAAAAGCCTAATTGCCCAGTACCTTCGGAGAACAAAATTCATTTATAAATAATACATACATTCTGGTGATTTATATCAATTCAGCAAGCTACAAACACTATTGTTCACATCTTTACAGAGCAGTAAACAATATACAGAGATTTTATCAAATGACAAGCAAACAACCTTTCCATACTTGGATAAGACTACATACATCTAGCCCTTGGTGCACTAGAACTGTCCGTAGTTCACTGAATATCAGACACTGTGAACAAGCATAAATTATTATAACCAACCCAAAAGAGCATTTATTTTGCAAGGAAAAATAACAAAGTGAAAGCAAAAATGCGATAAAATTTAGTGATTTCTGCGGTGAAAATACACCTCAAGAAACCTTACACCACATCCCAACTTGAACACCTTACAAGAAAACCCCAATTGGCCAGTTCCTTGTTGGGGATAGAGAACGAAACCCTGCACACACACTCGGACCATTTTGCAATTTCGAGAGCCATCTTCCCAAATCAGCTCTTCCAAAACCAGCCTCAATTTGACCTTTAAATGTCAAAAAAATTGAGCAAACAATACATTTCATGTTCTTCACAATGGTATCATTGAGTCCTGGCTTCTGGTGTACCTCCTGGGTGAGTCAAACTTTCCACCGGACGAAAATGACCTCTTCATTGCAACATGCCCCATTTGCAAAGAACAGTCTACCGAACAACTCTTCTTCAATCTAGACATGCTTGAATTCTTATTCACTCCCTTAGAAACAACCTTGTCTGAATTGGGTTTTTTCAATTGTACTGATCGTGTACTCGAACACCCTTCAAGTCCCACCTGAGGAATGTTAGCCAGAGCAACATAAATCTTTGAAGCAGATAACTCATCCATTGAAATTGATCTTCTCACTGGTTGCAATTCATTCTCTACTGTTGCTCGATGATCTGCCAAATCACTTAGTACCCGGGAATCAAAATTATTCATGTTGAAAAACAGCGAATCTTTTGTTATAATCTCAGAAACTGTTCTTTCTTCACTTGGCAATCCACCAAAATTCTCTGTTTCAACTGAAATTTCACTACTCTCCTGATCAAAATTCTCTAAATTCTCTACCGGGTTCGCCTCCCTTGGCCCCCCCAAATTATTCAAATTTGGGTCTGATTCACTCGGATCAACCCTATTCCCATCGGTGACTATCGGAGCACGACACAATGGGCAGTTTTGATGTGATCTCAACCAAGCATCAATACAGGGGATGTGAAAAGCATGACTACACTTTGGCAAAAGTCGAAGAGTCTCGTCCTCTTGAAACTCACTCAAGCAAACAGAGCAGTCTGTTCCTTCAATCAACCCTTGATCTTTTTTGTATTTAAACACTGCAATCGAATCGATCACGGACTGTTGGAGACCAATTGTGTTGATGTACCAAATGGGATGATCTATAATAGGACCATGATTCTCATCCACAAAATCTTCATGATCATCATCGTCAAACATTGCCTGATTTCGCCTCCGAGAATTTTTCGAATAGTACATCTTAAGAAATACGAGAAAGCTAACTAGAAGGATAGCAGAACCAAAAACACCGATCAGGACGATAAAAGTTGGTGAAAAATGATGGGGTTTTTTGAAAGGAGGAGGAGGAGGATACTGATCATCAGGTGGAGGATGGTAACATTCTGAATCTGGACATTTTATGACAAAACGCGGTTGTTTTCTGTGATGAATTGCCATAATCACAGAAACAAGGGAAGAAACAGAGGAATATGGAACAGGGGAGAGAGATTGATACCTTGCACATGAGGAGAGAGAAATGGGGATAAAAAACTAAAGAAAATTGATCAGATAAGCCTTTCAACACATGGTGTGGGTTGAATTGATGGTAATTGACGAGTTGGGTTTGATTGTTTATGCTTTTGATTTGATTGTATAATTGGGAGATTTGTCAGCATCAGTGAAAGACTTGGGAAGTTTACTGGGTGGTTTCCTTATTTTTGTTTGGGTTTGTACAAGTCAAACAAAAAGACTTTAGTAAGTCATTTACGCGTTAACGTAAGGGTTGGCCTCTACTTTGGAAAATTATTAAATATTTCTTAGTATCATATCACATTGCTAATCTCATCAATCTAGTCCCTATAGTTGCCATCAATTTTCCTCTTTAATTTTTCATATTGGGTGAATTATTCAATTCATAATATCTGTCAAGGCATTCAATAAAAATCAAGAAAAAAAATGACCAATTTAGAATAAATTATATTTTGTCCCTTATATGTAGTCACTTTCTCATTTTGATTATTCAAGTTTTTTTTTTTTTTCACTTTGACCTATGATATATCAAGTTTTTTTTTACTTTACTCCTAAAGTTAATTTCTATTCAAAATTAGATAAAAAATGTCACAATAACTGTCACATAAAAATATATTATTATATTAAAATTAAGTTTATGTTAGAGGTATATAATAAAATATTTTTATATCACATAATAAAAATTAGTTTTGAGAGTAAAGTGGAAAAAAAAATGAAATATGAAGGGTCAGAGTGAAAAAAAATAAATTTAAAGGACCAAAATGAAAAAATTACCAAACATAAAAGGGCAAACTGTAATTTACCCTAGAATTTATTAATATAAATAGTATTGTTGTATATCCCTACGAATCAAGATCATCTTCTTGACTTTTCTCCTTGACTTCCTACTTGTTGGGTTATTGAGCTCACTTTTAAGCCCAATTTCAATGATCCAAACCGTTCATATTTTAAGATTTGTTGAGTATATCATATCTGTAAAAAATCAAATTGATCGGATATCAGAAAGCATGTGTTTGGATTATCAAACTAAAACCATTTTAAAAAAAATAAATTAATAAACAGTTTTCCGAACACATGCTTTCTGATATCCGATCAATTTGATTTTTTATAGATATAATATACTCAACAAATCTTAAAATATAAACGGTTCGAATTATCAAAATTTGGCCTAAAAATAAGTCCAATAACCTAATAAGTAGAAAATTAAAGCGAAAAGTTAAGGAAATGATCATGATTCATATCCCTACATTTTTACTTCGAACCCCTCATTTAACTTCCACTGAAATGTCTCCCCACGTCTTTTTCTTTGAACCTCCAATATATCCTCCTTTTTTAGACGAGTCCGGATCCTCGGCCGCCCTACCCAGCGGCCCTGTCCAGCAGCGCCCCAAAACGACGTCGTTTTGGGGCCAATTTTCCACAAAAAAAACAAAAAAAAAAAAAGAAAGAAAAAAGAAAGAAGAAGAACGGGGTCTGCTACTGGTTCATCCGTATATATATATATATATATATTTCCTTTGTAAATTTTCAAAAAGAAATGAAGAATGATCCAAATCTGGGAAGCATTCTTGGAAAATTTGGGGAAGCATTCAGTTCTTGAAGAATGATCCAAACACACCCGAGGTCTTCATCATCTACCAACATTCAGTTCATCTTCATCATCAAAAACGCACCTTCATCAACAACAACACAGAGGTCTTCATCATTTTCAGATCAAAAAAAAAATTAGATTGGTGACCAAATCAATTTTTGAATGCATAAAAAAACAGATTGGTGGTCAAAAAAAAAAAACACAGAGGTCTTCAACACAGGAATCAGTTTTTTTCCCCCTTTAGATCTAGATCCAAATCAACTAGAAAAAAAAAAAAAAGGTAGAGAAAGCAGAGGCCATCGGCGATCAAAATTTTTTTTGAACATCATCATCATGTTCAACATGTTCAACATCTTCATCATCTTCATCAACAATCAAATCCATTTTGAACAAATTTTTTTTTTTTTTTTTTTTTGTTGATGATGAACCCAACAGAACCCAGCAGCTCCTTCTTCCTCTTCTTCTCTTCTTCTTCTTCTTTTTCTTCATCTATAGATATAAAGATATATATATATATATATGGATGAACCAGTAGCAGACCCCGTTCTTCTTCTTTTTTTTTTTCTTTTTTTTTTTTGGAAAATTGGCCCCAAAACGACGTCGTTTTGGGGCGCTGCTGGAAAGGACTGCTGGGTAGGGCAGCCGAGGATCCGGACTCCAAGAAATATAGAGGTATATCTGAGACCTGCCATTCGGTTTCTCTTTGCAGAGATAAAGGAAGGCCCACATCATCTTGCTTTTCTTGTGAAGATAATTTCACTTTTCGCAACAATCATAACTAAAATTAAAGTAGACTGTGGGTATATCAGTTTATAAAAATATCATTTTACATCACTTTTTGTAAGATAAATTACACTGACACCTCCTGAAGTTTGGTTCAATTACAATCCCACACATTTGGTTAATAATCTCATTTTACAAATCTCCTACTTATATAAAAGGCAACAATTTTTAGTAGAAAAAAAAAAATTTACATTGAAAAAAAAAAAACAAAGTAAGAAAAGAGAGAAAACATGAGTTTAATGTCTTCATTCCGTCTAAATAATTATAATAATAAGGAGATTATTGTAGTTTCTCAAACGTCAGGGAGTGATATGTATTAAATTCAAACCTCAGGATGTAAGTGTAATTTACCCTTTTTTTAAATAAAAAAATTGAATATATATTTTTTATTTTTTTATAAATTTATGTATGTTGTCTATTGTGTCAATTTAATCATTATATTTATAATTGTATCAATTTTGTTAATGAGTTTTTCATACGGTGTCGATTATTGATAATTTCTTTTTAACAATTACACTAAAAAAGGCAAAGTATTCAATTTGCTTTTCTCAAAATAATTAAGGGGTTGACATCTGATTTATAATAGAGAGCTGCTAATGGTATGTCATTTTTTTCTTTGGACCCTACCATTTCAAATTTTTTTGTACTACAATTTTACCCCACCATACAATTCTATTTTGTCATCATCTCTCACCTCTTAGAACCCTAACCCTAATCCTCCTCACCCATTGACCCCCAAGTCTAACCATTGACAACCCTCAGCTCCGACTCCTGCCCCGCCATCACCTAGATAGCTTCAATTTAGTTCTTACTCTTCACTACCCCTCTTTTCCTCCTCTCTTCCTCTCTTCCTCTCTCAACACCCTCAGCCCCGTCTCTAGCTAGATCTAGTTCATAAAAATGAAGTGTTTTTCGGTTAGACCTAGATCGAAATCTATCAACCCTAGTACAGTGAGACCAATAGAGCATGATAATGTCAGCTTAAAGGAGGTTCACAGCTTCGATGAGATTTGCAGCTCAGATGAAGTTCATATTGTAGTAGTGAGTTTTTGCAAACGGAAAAAAAGAAGAAGAAAAGAACAGTTCGATATTTGTTCGATATTGAACTTCCGAACATATGCCAAAAAATGGGCAAACTTCAACCGAATTAGAGGTAGTAATTCGGCATGGCCTAAGCGAACTAAACAGTTCCCGAACAAACTAGGTTTGTGGTCTAACAATTCTAAACCTGGATCAAAAGTGCGACACAAAGATAAATAATCATACTTTGGTAATCCAGTGCCAAACAATACTTAGACAAATTCACAATCAAAGGTTCATGAGGTCGAGATTACTAAACAAAATTCAAAATAATCATATTTCAAAACAACCAATAATAAATTTATCCAAAAATGTGGGTTGAAGGCTTGGGAGATGGTGTTGGAGGAAGCGAGGGACAGGGAAGGAGTAGAGAGGATTGGCGTCGGAGGTGGTGGGGCTGTTGGCGGTGAGAGGCTGCGAGATGAAGAGTTGGCGGAGTGAGGGGGTCTAAAAAAGGAGGATGTATTGGGGGTTCAGGGAAAAAGACGTGGGGAGACACCTAAGTGGAAGTTAAATGAGGGGTTCGAAGAAAAAATGTAGGGATATGAATCATGATAATTTCCTTAACTTTTCGCTTTAATTTTCTACCTATTAGGTTATTGGACTTATTTTTAGGTCAAATTTTGATAATTTGAACCGTTCATATTTTAAAATTTGTTGAGTATATTATACCTGTAAAAAATCAAATTGATCGGATATCAGAAAGCATGTGTTCGGAAAACTGTTTATTAATTTATTTTTTTTTTAAAATGGTTTTAGTTTGATAATCCAAACACATGCTTTCTGATATCCGATCAATTTGATTTTTTACAGGTATAATATACTCAACAAATTTTAAAATATGAACGGTTCAAATTATCAAAATTTGACCTAAAAATAAGTCCAATAACCTAATAGGTAGAAAATTAAAGCGAAAAGTTAAGGAAATTATCATGATTCATATCCCTACATTTTTTCTTCGAACCCCTCATTTAACTTCCACTTAGGTGTCTCCCCACGTCTTTTTCCCTGAACCCCCAATACATCCTCCTTTTTTAGACCCCCTCACTCCGCCAACTCTTCATCTGGCAGCCTCTCACCGCCAACAGCGCCACCACCTCCGACGCCAATCCTCTCTACTCCTTCCCTGTCCTTCGCTTCCTCCAACACCATCTCCCAAGCCTTAACCCACATTTTTGGATAAATTTATTATTGGTTGTTTTGAAATATGATTATTTTGAATTTTGTTTAGTAATCTCGACCTCATGAACCTTTGATTGTGAATTTGTCTAAGTATTGTTTGGCACTGGATTACCAAAGTATGATTATTTATCTTTGTGTCGCACTTTTGATCCAGGTTTAGAATTGTTAGACCACAAACCTAGTTTGTTCGGGAACTGTTTAGTTCGCTTAGGCCATGCCGAATTACTACCTCTAATTCGGTTGAAGTTTGCCCATTTTTTGGCATATGTTCGGAAGTTCAATATCGAACAAATATCGAACTGTTCTTTTCTTCTTCTTTTTTTCCGTTTGCAAAAACTCACTACTACAATATGAACTTCATCTGAGCTGCAAATCTCATCGAAGCTGTGAACCTCCTTTAAGCTGACATTATCATGCTCTATTGGTCTCACTGTACTAGGGTTGATAGATTTCGATCTAGGTCTAACCGAAAAACACTTCATTTTTATGAACTAGATCTAGCTAGAGACGGGGCTGAGGGTGTTGAGAGAGGAAGAGAGGAAGAGAGGAGGAAAAGAGGGGTAGTGAAGAGT